CAATCAGCTGAGAGGATAAAGAAGAGAAAAGCTGAAGGGCAGGTGGGAGGGCCAATCCTGCCATTTTCCCTTCTTTTTCCTATCAGCTGATTGTTGGGGGAGTTTTTTTCCTCCTCTCAGCTGATCATCGGCTTTTTTTTTTTTTACTACCGGTTCACTCAAACCGGTCGAAAACGGTAGCATACCATCACTGTTCCTCAGGCTTTTGACAGTGGCGAGATAGTTTATTTTTCCTTCTGCCTTTTCTATTGGGCCTCATCACTTTATTCATAACCCTTCACTCTCCCCCTTTTCTCTTGCTTTTCTCTTTGCTCCCTTTCCATATCTTAGCCCTTCGGAGAAGATTCTTGGAAAACCAGCTTTTGTTTTGGGGACAGTCTTAGCCAGGCCTTTGCCACTGGGATCAGGGGATGCTCAGCTCCCCACAACCAGCCTACATTCCCCACTATAAAACGGCTTTGGTATTATCCCTTTCACCTGGCTTGAAATTGAAATGTAGTTGTTGTTCCCTCCCTGAACAGCCCTGGTATAAATTATATGTGATCCTTCCTCCCAAACTCTTGCCAGTGTCCAAAAACACCCAAGGAATTGTCGTCGTGTGTTTGAGATCTGTCGCATCGGGAGGACATTATGAGAGAGTTCCTGATAGGATCTCAGTAGGAGAACTGTGATTCTAAATGTTACTTCATATAGCTAACGGTATGCAGGAAAGACCTTGGGAGACGGACTGTACGATGAAGTAGAAGTGGTTTATCTGCTCTGGTTTCCAACCTGGTAAAGTTGACCTTAGTTATCCTTGGGAACTGTGGCAAGGTCCCTCCTGAGCTGCTTCATCCACTATGCGGCTGCAGGCTCTGCTGTCTCTTATCTGACTGGTATCCAGGTGGCATCTCTCCAACCATATCTCCCAAGGTCCTTCCAACATCCCTTCCAATATATTTACAGCACTGCATACAAACGGCAAGGGAGTCGTTAATAGATGCAAGTTTACATTTTCGATTTGACTTTATTCTTGCAGAAATTGGACGGGACAGAATAATAGGCCCTGACCTTTACAGATACAAAGCTTGAATTTAGACTTAGCTCTTTTACCTCTCTTTCCATCTATCAATTTTGAATTGGTTTGAGCAGCCGTGATTACTAGTGGAATATCTTTCCATTGTTGTCCAGAGTGCTTGTTACCCCACTTAAGTGGCCAGCCAGCAAAAGCACTCTTGTATTTATCCAGTCAGTTGATTCGGCAATATTTATAGTGCAGTTTAATCAGAAAGCTATTTGCTAGTTTTTAACAATTTAATCAACCTTGTTTTGTTTTTCTTTAAAAATTGCCTGTGTTAGATTCTGTCCTGACCCAGCTCCCAAACACGACAAGCCCTCTGCATTTAACTAAATGTTCCCTTTATTAGGAATGCCAGCAGCCCCGGCATAAACTCTCTCTCTTTCTCTCTTTCCCTGTCCCTCACAGCAGACTAACAAGTGGCTGACTGGCAGGGAAATGAATAGTTGTCTGCCACACCTATTCATCTATGCCCCCCCCCCCGCCTTTTATCTCCAGAGCTAGGGTGAGGCTTCGCTAAGCAGCGGTGGTTCTTCTGTCCCAAGGACCGGCCCATAGATTCCTGCTGCTCTCTCCTCTCCTCTGCCTTCCGCGCATCCGTGTCAGGCACTGGACCCAGCTGTTCCTCCTCTACCTCATCAGCCACCTCCAGACCTGGGGGCTGTTGACACTCCATCTGAGGGCTTATGGGTGGCCCAGGCTCTGCCTCTGTCTCTCTCTCTCTGCCAGCTCCATTCCCTCTCCCCCCTCGGAGCTCTCAGGTTGTCTCGATGCTGGCCCTGACTACTCCCACGCCACCGCCTTCTCTGATTTGGCTGCTGGAGGCCACAACAGATTCCTAGGGCAAGATCAGCAGGGCAGCGCTCAGGTTCCAAATTAAGCTGTTCAGGGACATTGCTTCATTAGCATTGAGTGCTTTGCTACCCCCACTCCCCCAGTGCCTCCAATCTCTGTACCTCAGATGGTGAGAAGAGCTGTCTCTTCTTCTGATTTAGGGGGAGCTGGTGACCGCCTCCAAGGCCATCATTGAGAAGGAGTACCAGCCCCGTGTCGTCATGAGCACCACTGGACCCAACCCTTTCCACAAACTCACGGACCAAGAACTGGAGGAGTATCGCCAAGAAGTCGAAAGGAAACAGAGGCAGTCGGAAGGTTTGTGCGTAGCATCAACTGGGCACCTGTGATCCCGTTGCAATAGCCGTAGCACTTAGACTTATATACCGTTTCACAGTGCTTTTACAGCCCTCTAAATGGTTTACAGAGTCGGCCTCTTCCCCCCCAAAAAACAATCTGGGTTCTCATTTACCGACCTCGTAAGGACGGGAGGCTGAGTCGACCTTTGAGCCAGTCAGGATCGAACTGCTGGCAGTGGGCAGAATCAGCCTGCTATACTGCATTCTAACCCCTGCGCCACCAGAGAAGGGAGGGAGGGAAGGAAGGGAGGGAGGGAGGAAGGAAGGAAGGAAAATTAAAGTGAAGGGAAGTCAGGAGGAAGATGAAATGGAAGGAAAGAAGGAAGGAGAGGGAGGAAGAGACCCTTAGCTATAGACTTACAATCCCACTTTCCAGCCCTCTCTACATGGTTTATAAAGTCAGCCTCTTGCCCCCAAGAATCTGGGTCCTCATTTGACCGACCTCGGAAGGACGGAAGGCTGAGTCGACCTTGAGCCTGGTGAGATTCGAACTGCCAAATTGCAGTCAGCCGGCAGTCAGCAGAAGTAGCCTGCAGTACCACACACTAACCACTGTGCCACCCTGGCTCATTTGCACCTGGCCGAAGGGGCAAACCTTGTTGGCATAACGTGGAATCGCTTCCAGAGTTTCCCGTGGGCCGGTGCTCATGGCACCTGCGAATCCATGCCATGTGTTTTGTCTAACCACACCATCATCCTCTCTCTGACTTACAGCCCAGAAGGGGAACCACGGGGCTGCCGCTATTATTTCTTTGCATCATTGCATTTGTTTCCACAAGCTTTCTATTTTCCTGTGTGAACGAGAAGGGGTGCTGTTGACACCACGTTTGCAAAGGAGAGAAATGGTTGCAGTCACAGGCAGGCCTCAACGTAACGACCACAGTTTTGAGCCCAACATTTCTATTGCTAAGTGAGGTTTGCTCCATTTAACGACTTTTCTTGCCACAACAGAATGAACTGCCGTGATTCACTTAGCGGCTGAATCAAGGAAGGTTGTAAAATGGGGAGAAATTCACTTTAATAGATGGTCTCGCTGAGCAACAGATACGTCGGGCTTAACTGTGGCTGTAAGCCGAGGACTCCCCGCATTTCATTTCACAAAGAAAGATTGGTTTATTGGCTTGCGGGTTAGTTTGTTTGTTTGTTTGTTTGAAAAGAATTCGGTTGTACTTCTGTTTTGTGTAGAAGATTGTGAAGACGGCAGACAGCAGGGAGACAGGAGCTCTCCGGACCAAACTATTGCTTCCACCCCACCCAGCACTCCGGTCAAACTCGAGGAAGGTACGTGTGTCGCGAGGTTTGCGTCGGAGGCGTTGCGTTTCCATCCACACTTCTTCCAAAGGAGGTGGAGCTGAAAGGGAGCTCCCGGGCACGATTTTCCAAGGAA